CTCTCTCTCTCTCTCTCTCTCTCTCTCTCTCTCTCTCTCTCTCTCTCTCTCTCTCTCTCTCTCTCTCTCTCTCTCTCTCTCTCGCTCCCTCTCCCCCGCCCAGTTTATTTCTTCGTTTTTCTTTTCAGAGTCTCGTTCATTTTCTTCTTTTTTTTTTGTTTTTGAAAAGTGAAGAAAAAAGCGCTAACAGTAGCTCTAGGCTTGGTAAGGCTCGGCTTACCGGTAGCGGGAGGCTCGGAAGCTGGGCGAGGTACTGGTGGTTTAACCAATCAACTCGTACTTTGGGAATGGGATAGGAACTGGGATCGGGACCGGGATTTGGATTTGGATTGGCATTAGTATCTGGATTGGGGTTGGACTGATAGATTGGGAGTCTATTCTAAAGATTAGAAGGTAATTGATCAGAGGAAGGGTGGATGGGGGTCTTCTGAGGGGGGTTGCATACAAAAAACAAACAAAAAAAGAAGGTACTTTGCAATCTATTTTTTTTTCCCTTTTGTTCTTTTTGCTAATCTTCTCTCTATCGTTCCAATTTTAACGGATGTCCCGAAGGACACTTGGCAGTCTTTTGATGTGCCCCAGCCTGGCCAAACACCTCCATCAACCTAGCCCATGTGGCTGAATGGTACACCCATTAACTGTTGCTAAGCAGACTGGTGTTCGAATCCAGACAAGAAAATAAAACTTGGGGGCCTCATGAACTTTGCTGATGATGTCACTGATACTACCGATACTATGATGATGATGATGATGATGATGATGATGAGACGGCTGATGAAACTGATGAGAGTAGCTGCCGACGATGAAACTAATGATATAGTTCTATGGTAAGTTTTAAACTCTATCAGCATATCTCCTTCTTTCTTTTCCGGATGCCGGTACTCGAACCCCCGAAAAATGCGGCCGTGAACAAGCCGTGAGTTCGTTTTTCCGGTCTGGTATGAACCCCCGAAAAATGCGGCCATAAATGAGCCGCGACTTCGTTTTTTTAAGCGGGGTAAGGTACTGGTCGTTTAATCGCAGCCCAGAAGTAGGGTCCAAAAGAGGAGTGTGTGTGAGTTCCAGCTTGACCAAATAAAGCATCATGATGGGATTGGCAGATGTGTATCTGAACCCCGACAGCGACCCAGTGCTCTATTTGGCGGATGATCATACCCAGGGGCCCAAAGGAAGGTACCCTCCCACTGTGCAGATCTGGATCGGTTGGCTCGTCACCACCTGTACCCACTTTTTCCGAGCGTAATTGCTCCCATCTCAGTCGATCCTGTAAGTAGCTAACTTTCCCTGGATATAGAATCATAGATAGATAGATAGAATCTTTGAAAAAAGAAGAAGAAGAAGAAGAAGAAGAAGAAGAAGAAGAAGAAGAAGAAGAAGAATGTCTAACCTTCGTCATGTTCCATGTGGGTGCATGTATGGTGTTGGTTTGGCATGATGCAGGGAAGGAAACCACCCCCATCTCTAGAAGATCTCAAGGACTTCAGGGACAGACTCGGTCAGTCTCTTGAGGCAAACAGATAGAAGGAGAAGGGATTTGCCGAAGCGAGTACACTACGTGGAGAAGGGGGCGGTCCCCATCTTTTATCAAGCTCTGGGGGTGCCAGTGTTCCCTCACTCTCCCTCTTTGGGATCAAATGAGCCAGTCTATGCACTTATATTATTCTCAAACTGAGAAGTTGCTGATCTGTGCAAGTTGCTGGCATGAAGAAGTTGCTGACATGTATGAGTCTCTGACATGGACAAGTTGCTGACATGATGAACAAGGAAAAAGGGATTTGAACCCTCAACCTTAGCCTTGGCTGGATTTCCCATGCTCTCACCACTGAGGAGGACCCTCCATTGGGCCATAATACGTTTCACCCATGATCGACTTCTGATCGCCCAAGAGTCTGGTCAATCATAGAAGCATATCTCTTTGTATGTCGAATTGGGGAAGAGATTGCCATGGACAAGGATGACATGGCTTAAACCACCAGTACTTCCTAAAATTGTGCCCGTTAACAAGCCACAATTTTAGGAAACGTACGGGCCACTACAGGAGCGCCAAATTCATCCGACTAGAAACGTTCTACTCTATTTTTTACCGCGGCCTATAGCTGGGCCACCAGTACTTCCTAAAGTTGTGCCCGTTAACAAGCCACGATTTTAGGAAACGTACGGGTCACTACAGGCTGTCTCTTATACACATCTAGATGTGTATAAGAGACAGCTACAGTCTTGAACCACCAGTACTTCCTGAAGTCGTGCCCGTATACGTACGGGCCACGACAGAAGCACCCAAATTCATCCGACTAGAAACGTTTCTACTCTATTTTTTTCCGCAGCCTATAGCTGGGCCAAGTACTGGCGGTTTAACTACCAAACAGTTGCTGCAGTGGATGCTATTCTGTACTACCGAACACAATGCATGGTCATTTTTGCTGTACTACCGAACGCAGTGCATCGTCATTTTTGCTGTATCTAGACTCATAATTACGGAACGTTTGTGTTCGGGTTAAGACGGTAGCTTAAACAACCACTACCTCCTGAAAAATATGGCAGGACGGCAAACCTGTGACCATTCAAATCATCGATCCAACAACCCAACTGAAAAGTGTGGGCCTTCTAGGAACCAGGGCGGTCATACAACGTTGTAATGGGCCTTCTAGTTAACAAGCGATAAATAACGCACATTTGTGATGGGCCCTCTAGGAACCAGGGTGATCATACAAAGTAGTCGTGGGCCTTCTGAAAAGTGTGGGCCTTCTAGTTAACTGCCACTTGGATAGTGTGGGCCCTCTAGGAACCAGGGTGATCATACAAAGTAGTGATGGGCCTTCTGAAAAGTGTGGGCCTTGTAGTTAACTGCCACTTGGATAGTGTGGGCCTGCTAGGAACCAGGGTGGTCATACAAAGTAGTGATGGGCCTTCTGAAGAGTGTGGGCCTTCTAGTTTATTGCCACTTGGATAGTGTGCTGCTCGAAACCCTGAAGCCTTGGATTGGATTAACAAGCGATAAATAACGCGCATTTGTGTGCTATACAAGGCCATGAAGTCTAATTCGTGTGCAATGCGGCGACACCCTCGTGAGGTGTGCGAAGGGGCCTCCTTGGCAACGTGTTGCGAAAATGCTCCTGTGGACCTGGGGCAATGTACCAAACGTGTCTGCGGCTGTTGCGGTCTTTGCTGGAACGGAACGGAACGGAATGGAACAGAGGGTCATTGTACCTTTATTGAGTGCGGATTTTTCAGGCCGTATGGGCGACGGAACGAGTCCTCCCTTTATTTAGGGGGAGGGGGGGGCAGATAGCAGTGGCTGCAATCCCTGGACAAGGCCTGCTTGCTTCGTAGGAGCAGATTTTCTAACAAATTTAGGGGAAAGTTTTGTGCATGCTTGCTTCAAATGCCTGGAGAAAGAAGGACGGAAATCCGCATCACCAGACATGAGATTGGGTAGCAGTGCCAGTGGTGATTGCCAGCAAGGAGGAAAAGAAGGCAGTGGGCTATCCAGCAAGGAGGAAAGGACAGGCATTGCGTCTATTGCGTCTATGGCAAAGAGGGAAAGGGAAGCAGTGGGTCATATAGCAAGGCGGAAAGGAAACGCAGTGGGCTATCCCGCAAGGAGGAGAGGACAGGCATTGTGTCTATTGCATCTATAGCAAGGAGGGAAAGGAAAGCAGTGCTTCATATAGCAAGGAGGAAAGGAAAGGGAGTGGGTCATATGAACCTTCAACTTGAAGTTGCGATGGATTTTGGTCGTCAAGTTTTCGAGGTTCGATTCCCGGTTTGATTTGACTGCTGACTGTGACTGCATAAAGTTACTCCTTTTTACCAGAGCCTATTTTGGACAATCGTATCCCACAGCCTCTTTTTTTTTTGGTGGTGGGTGGGGGGAAGGGAGGGGGCAAGCCTCCATTTTGCAAAAGAGTGCGAAGTATTCTATCCAGCATTTTCTTCGTATTGCAGTGCAGAGAAATACTATCCAGAGCATAGTCGTGGGAGGCTAGGCAAGCTTCACCCACAGTTTTCATTACAGGGAAACAGGTGTTTGCCCTCCATGACTTCGTGGCAGAGAGGACGGGTGGGGAGAGAGGGAGTAGGAAGGTGTTCAAGCAAAGGGAAAGTGACACAGACAAGAGAGAGCATGGAAAATAGAGAGAAGGGGCGAGAGAGGGGGAGAGTCACCTCTCTCTGTCTGGCTCCCTCTCCCCCCCCCCCTCCCCCTCCCCCTTCTCTCTCTCTCGGATGGAAGAGGGCAAGAGAGTTGGAAGTGGAGGACAGAATGGAAAACAACAGTAACGGAGAGGGAGAGCGATGGAGTGGAAAGAGCAGTGATGGAAAACGAGGCTTCCCTCTCTTCTCCTCTCCTCCTCTCTCGTGTCTACTCTCCTCTCCTTCTCTGTCATCCTCCTCTTTCTCTCCTCTACTTCTCTGTCATCCTCCTCTTTCTCTCCTCTCCTTCTCTGTCATCCTNTCCTTCTCTGTCATCCTCCTCTTTCTCTCCTCTCCTTCTCTGTCATCCTCCTCTTTCTCTCCTCTCCTTCTCTGTCATCCTCCTCTTTCTCTCCTGTCCTTCATTCCAGCCTCGTCTCCTCTCCTCTCCTCTCATCTCATCTCATCTCATTTCATCTCCCCACATCTCCTCTCGTCTTCTCGCATGCCCTTTCATATCCTCTCCTCTCCTCTCCTCGTTACTTTTCCTCTCTATCCTTCTTGCGTCCACTTACATTGTTTCGTTTTCTCTCCTTTTGTCTGCTTTGCCTCTTTGTACTTCCCCCTATTTTGGGGAAACTGTGGCTGTGACAGACTTTTAGTTTGAAATAGGCAAGAAAAGTCAAAGTCGCGCCGGTGTCATGGTGTGAGTTTCGAAATGTGCAAGTTTAGCGGGGGGGGTCTAAAACTGCGCCAGTCATTTACCCGCAGTGGCGCTTGGCAGATTTAGGGGGGTCGCCTTTTTTGCCCCATTAAACTGCTGAAGTTGCCTATTCTGAACGTTGGGTGTTACTCCAACGTACTTGCCCCTTTTATTTTTGTCCGGACAGACCCTGTCAAACTGCAAACACATGTATGTGAAGAGCTGTTAGGCTTTGGACAGTTTTGTGATGGAATTGCTGGCCACAGTGGGGGATGGGATTGGTTGAGAGTGCTTTTCCCGGACCTGTATGGCTGCGGCACATATGTAAAGGGACGACGGACCCGTTTTCCGGCAGATAATGGACTCGTGGTATTTCGATGTGACCCTGAGGCCACCGTTGTTGTTCAGTTTATTTTTCTGCATAACTTTTTTTTTTTTTTTTTTTTTTTTTTTTTGAAGCGACCTGTTTTGGAACTGCAGTCTATTGGCGGGGAGTGTCACCCGCTGGAAAGTGGGTCCAGCGTCCCATCATCTCCCATGTACACGAAAAATCATACAGATTGTAGTCAGCCTCTTCAGCCCAGAAAGGGACGCCAGATACAGCATTAATCTTAGCTGACCAACCTCCATGGCCTCGCCCCACTACTCACCAACTGTGCAAAATGAGAATGAATATCCCATTAGAACATGGAAAGATACACCGCCATCTTTTTTGTCTTTTGTGCGCCTGGATGGTAGTGTAGCGAGGCCCCTCGTCTTGGGTTAAACCCAGACTCCGATACTAAATGCATCTGGAATTTTTCAAGGGGTAACAAGGGTGCAGTCACGATTTCAGTTTTAAATCCACTTCACGCATCCCTCGAATACAACACAACCCCACCCGACCCTAAAGTTGGGCTGTGTATACATTCACAATTTTCCTCGGTTTGGCACAACATTCGTGAAATAGTGACTGAAACGCATTTCTTTTTAAGGAAACGCATTTCCAAACTGAAACCTTTACAGCACCGTAGTTTTCCCATTTTTCAATGATTGTTTGTGCTTTGGCCTTGCCAGGCATCGGAATGAACATTGCGTACTTTGAGCATTTGTGTTCCAAGCCCATAAATTGACTATTCACGTTCTGGCTAGGCTACTTGGCTCGCCCGGCCGTGCAGCACAGCCGGGCATCCCGGGTAAGTCACCTGGGGGTCACCTGGATGGGGAACCCCGTGCAGGCAAAAATCAGCCTTTTATTTTTTTATTTTTTTATTTTTTTTTGGGTGGAGATTTTCCGCACATGGCCAGCTTGGCTGTCAAGGGAGGGGTATTTGTTTTTGAGAGGCTAAAGGGGTCTAAATGGGGGTGCCTTAGCCTGGTTTTGTTGTTTTCATTTTTATCTTCTATTCTGTAAGGAATTTTATTTTTTTCAAAAATATAACTCTTGTGTTCATATAGCCGGGAAACAGGTCCGATGTCCCTTACGTCATACACTGCTGCCAAATGGGCTAAGCAAGGCACTCCCGGCCGGACCTATCCCTACCGCAGGCCAACACAACATTACAACTACCAATCCCAATCACAACCCTAAAACAAAACTCACTATCCGTACTTAGGGCATACTCACACGGGGACCTATAATCCCAAAATCTCAAAAAAAAGGGGAAAATGCCGGCCACACGGATCTACCAAATTCACAAATGTACTATTCCAGTGCCCATTTGTCAGCGGCCTGGGAAGCAGCGGGGCAAGGGATTTTGCGGTCACCTCTGGAGGGGACAGCAAATTCCCTTTTTTCTTTTTTGCATTTTCTTCAAAATTTGACAAAAATTCGTTCACAAAAGTTCTTGCACAATTGGTGGATGGCGCCATGTGACCAGCCAAGTACCAAATCCCCATTTCTCCAGCCGGCCGCGACCTTGTCCCATCTGAAAAGGTACAGCAGTGTGACGTGAACCATGCCCAAAACCTCAAATCGCCCTTTCCCAAATCCGCATATTTTGCAGATTTGGGGTCGCCATGTGAGTATGCCCTTAGAAAGAAGTCAAATCCCAATCTACGCCTTCACCAAACCACCG